ATATACATACAATTTACTTGGTTTAAAAAGACTAAAAAATATAAGCCATATCTAATAGTCCTATGATTGTCAATCTTAATAGAGATACTATGTGCTTATAAAGGTCGCATACTTTGAAGTAGTTCTTGTATATCTTAGCTACAACCACCAAGGAGCAAGAGTGTAATATTTGTAAGATTATCTTGACCTAGACTATTTACCTTATGTTTTACAGATTATATTTGAGGGTACTTTTCAGTCTCCTGTTGAGTCTGTCATGGCAATTGATGACGTAATGCTACAGAGCGGCATATGCAATCAAGGCAATAACTTGATATTTTTATAAGTTTATTTCTTTTGATATCTAAAAGTAGCTCATATAACACTTTCTTTTAATTCAAGTGTGCATCAGTAGGCCTAACCTAAAAAGTTTGTGTTTTATAAAATTTAGTCTTGGTTTATACCATTTTATGACAAAAATACAGATTTATTTTTAAACAAGTGCCTAAATACTTAACATGTGTTAAAATTTTTCAATTTGATACCTTAACAATGGATTTTATAATCTAACCATGGATTTGATAACCATGGATTTCACAAGGCAAAGTACATGAATTACGGTTAGTCAGGGGCGGATCCAGGATTTGAAAAAGGGGAGTTCAAAATGTTTATAAAAGAATCCAAAATGAAAGGGGGGATCCGGGGTTCCTTCCCTAGGAAAATTTTGATTCCTAGATGGCAGGAAATGAGCTTTCCCGACTTCTGAAGTGTCTTTAATGACCATTAAGGTCTTCAAAATTCAAGGTTTTCGACCTCTTGAAAAAGTTCAGGTAATTTTATATCATTCTTTAGGCCTATACATAGGCCTAGAGAAAAAAAAAATCAAATACTTAAGCAATATATTATTATATTCCAACAATATTGAGTAGTTAGGTATGTAGTCTTTCTTCCATGGATCGATGAACCATAGGCCTGAAGAACGCACTTTTGTACATAAATTATTACTACGTCAAACCAAAAATAGTGTGTATAATTTATTTAATTGAACTGGTTAGCCATTAATTTTAGAAGTACTAAAATCATCCTCACCTACCCAGATTTTTATCATTGTGCTTGTTGGTTAACACAACATTTTGGCATAAACATATGGGAAGCAATTTGAAAGCAATGTGTAAGGCATATTAGTTGTCTTCCCTATTTAAGCATATTACATGCCAGTCTTAGTTTCAAGTGTTGCATGTGTAGCCATAGCCTATTGTATGTCAAAGGCAAATAATCTTCTTTCTTAAAAGCTAAAAAGTAATATATTACACATATTATTCATTCCATAATGCTCTGTGACAGTTTATACTATTTGGCTATGGCTGCACCGTTGACCTAGAAATGCATAATTGAGATAAATTGAACGGAAAAACAAGACACAAACGGTAAATAATTTATGTTTCCTTATAGAATTTGTGTGCAATTTCGAAGACTCATTTTGTCTAGAGCAAGTGGTTGGTTTTGATCATTTTAATTGGAAACTTGGTAGTGGGGAAACATCATCCGTGGTTACCGGTCCTCCCGCAGACCATACACTTGGCGACGCGTCAGGTAGGCTATTTCTGTAATATTTTAATATTAAAACATTCAGAAATACTTTTTCTTAGACCATCATGGTACTAATCTATACACTTTCGTATATATAATTAGGCCATTATGCATATATCGAAGCTAGTGCACCTAGAAAGGCCAACGATACGGCAGTAGTAAGGACGCCAATTATTGCACCATCTTCGGATACGGGTCCACAATGTCTTCTGTTTTGGTATCATATGTACGGTCAACATATCGAAACATTAAATGTGTACACAGTGAATAACAGTGGACCAGGTGTATTGGTGTGGACAAAATCTGGTAATAGGGGAAACGTGTGGAGACCAGCCGAAATTGAACTGCGTGAAAGTATGAATTTTCGAGTAAGTCGAAAATTTTCTTTTGTAAGATTATCTTAAAATGTTTTAATACAAATTTGTCTCTTATACACATCTAGATGTGTATAAGAGACAGTTATTGCACCATCTTCGGATACGGGTCCACAATGTCTTCTGTTTTGGTATCATATGTACGGTCAACATATCGAAACATTAAATGTGTACACAGTGAATAACAGTGGACCAGGTGTATTGGTGTGGACAAAATCTGGTAATAGGGGAAACGTGTGGAGACCAGCCGAAATTGAACTGCGTGAAAGTATGAATTTTCGAGTGAGTCGAAAATTTTCTTTTGTGTTGGCATACATTCATTCGGACGTTCGTCGATTCGTTCGTCCGTCCGATCGTTCATACATCCATTTGTTAATATTCTTTTATTCATTTAATCATTCATTCATTGTAATTTGTAGATTACACTAAAGCGGCATTAATATAATTTCGGTTTATGTTGGGTTTTTTGCAAACTAGCTTAATAAAACTGAATTTAGACTGAAGAAAATGTTTTAATACAAATTAAAGAGGTAAAAATAAGCTTATAAACATAACTGTTTCCTAAAAAATCTTCCATTTATTTATATACTTTATTTAATAATCTTCTGCTTTTAGGTAGTGTTCCAAGCTGTACGTGGCAATGGTGTTCGAGGAGATATATCTATCGATGATATAAGTGTTGAATTAAGATCTTGTTATCTTCACGGTAAGATGAATACATTTATGCAAGCATTTATGTTATGGATTTTCATATAAATGTATTTGTAGTGTTAATAAATGAAAGCTGGCAATGGAAGAAGTCGTTTAAATAACATGGTCGTATATTTCATTCCAATAATTATTTCAATTCAAACCGATAGCAAATCATTGCCACTTGCAAATGTTGGTTGGATTCACTTTTAACTGATATAATAATAATAATAATAATAATAATAATAATAATAATAATAATAATAATAATAATAATAATAATAATAGATACAGCATAATATACACATAATATTGATTGTTCCTTGCAGATAGCCATATTGTAAATGGCCATACGGCAGATGCCCGTATATTAGACATGGGTGGGTGAGAAAGGTCCGTTATGCCTGGGTTAGGTCTACATTTAGTTTGTGAAGTTTGCGTAGGTTCCTTACCCGTAGACAAATCTACAATATTTTCCCAGATTTTTTTGCGCTCTAGTAAATTGTACGGGAACAACAATGGCAAATAACGTCTTTTTTCTTTATAATGTTATCACTTCTTTAAAAAGATCTCTCAAGTGTGCCAAGTATATCATGCAGCTTTGAAGAAGTTGAGTTATGTGGCTATGTTCAGGACAAGGATGATGAACTTGACTGGGGTTGGAAAAATGAAGCTACATCTACTCTAGGAACCGGTCCTTCTACTGACCACACGTCGATGGATGGCCTAGGTTAGTCGCAACCTTCATGTGGTTTAATATCTGCAAGGCACATCAGGTCAACTATAAAATTAACATAAGCTTAAAACATATCTATATTCAAAAGCGCCTTTTATTCGTTTATTTGATGTTCGTAACACTTATATTAATCGGGTTTTTTTTCGGTTAGACATAAGACTGAAAATATAATACATTTTACATAAAAATGGTTAGGGACAGTAACCATTAAGAATCAGCTGTCCCTTGAACAAGCAAATTGCAAAGTGCTTACAAACAATTAAATAAGTATATTTTAAATGTTTAATTTCACAATAATACTAGTACAATAATAATAACTACCTGTACAACAGAGCAATAACTATTATCATACAGGCTTAGTATAAACTTACGAATAAAGTTTAGCGTTGACGAAATACCGATAGGCCTAGATTTTAGCAACTTTTCCTAATTTTTCTCTGATCTTCCAATGTTTTTAAAATATCAGGATAAAATATATTGTTTATATAATACCAATATTTCCATTTTATAATAGCGTTAACTGTATTGATATTCCAGCTTAATGAAATGTATTATTTTTCTTTCAGGATTTTATTTGTATGTTACAATGACTAATCAACAAGCGCCGGGAAATACCGCTCGTCTTATATCACCAAAAAGAAGTACCGGGAGGCCTATACCGAAAAAACCGCAGTGCCTGGAGTTTTGGTACCACATGTACGGAGATCGCGTTCAGCAAACATTATCAGTATATTTACAGGATGAAAGTTCAGAAACTAGATTGTTAAGCATTGACGGCAATCATGGTGATTTCTGGCACCGGGCTACGTTGAAGATTACAAAAGAAACAGAATACAGAGTAAATTCTTCTATATTTTCTAAAACATCACTAACATCCAAACAGAGCGCTTTTACTCTGATTATGCCTATCATGAAAATTATTGTTGTGTCTTTTTAGGTAGTATTCGAAGGGACTCTAGGATTCTCAAGATTTGGAGATATAGCGATTGATGACGTCACTCTTACAGACGGAGACTGCGAAATTGGTAAAAATGCATATATTTTCCCTCAAATTCCGCCCAACTTTTTCAAACTTCTAAGTCTTTAGGCTATGGGGAAATCTAAACCATGTTGGGTACGTTAAATAAGCTGGTGTTTGTGTTTTCTTACAGTTGTGACAACACCGTTACCATCACCAGACTCTGTTATGGATATCGATTGTGTATTTGAAAGGCGGGATTTCTGTAACTATACACAAGATATTTACGATGATTTTGACTGGACGCCAGCACGAGCAAACACCCTAATATTCGGGCCTGAATACGACCATACTTTAAAGACATCGTTGGGTAAGCCATACTTGTAGAGCTAACTAACATTTTTTAGTATACAGTAGGATTCTTTATCGTTCCTGGTAGTTAATATAAATATAAATAATAACTAATATTGCAGATCAGTTTTGAAAGGTCGATGGACAGCGGCCGGGCAGTGAATCGACACCGATGGCCGGAATTGACAATCTTTTATAGTAATATTCATCATCATTGAATCTCCAACAAATGTCGCATGATTTATCAGAAACATTTAGCAACACTTCATGGCATTATAAAACATTTTCAATATACCACAAGGTGACCAAATATTTTTGCTCTAATGACCTCTGTTCACAAATATCTTAGCTAGGTCATATGCGTTCAACTTATCATATGTACATGACAGCAATTAACACATTTAGACTTTGTTGGCTAATTGTATTTCTTAGCAATGTCTTATTTCAACGATTTTCACTCATGGTTGTCGAATAACTGATGGAGGTGGGTGGAATCCACTTAAAAGTACCGTATGTGAAGGTAGGACGCGTCCTCTCCTCCCGAAGGACGTGTCTCCCGCCCTCCATTAACTGCGCCCAGCTATTAAACATGGCGCGAGTCAGTGATTCAGTTATGCCCTTAATGTAGATGCAGTGTAATTGGATATAATGTGCAATTATAGTTCTTTGTAATTCTTCTCATAACGGTCTGTTGAAAATTGACGAAACCTCAATATGTTAAGATACAGGTTTGTAAGAAAGTGTTAAAAGCGAAGCTGCTATCCAATCTTAGGTCATTTTATGTACGTTGATCCGTTCTTTCGGAGGTTCGACCAGAAAGCTAGATTGTATTCACCACTTGTCAAGGAAACCACCCAGCCATCTTGCGTTAAATTTTGGGTCTACATGAACGGCGAAGATGCCGACTTCTTCAACGTGTATGCAAAGCAATACTCAGAGCCGTTACCCAATGACCCAAGTTTAGCTGTTTACGGGGATCACGGTAAGAAATGGATTTATGAACAGGTTGAAATAGCGCCATCACAAGAGCCTTTTAATGTAAGTATAACTTTTACTGAATTTTCATAAATACTGTAGATGGCCAATTAAATGTTAAAGATTCTTATTCTTCTTTATTAGTTGAGTTACCGCCTTCATCTTATTGAAGATTATGAGTAAAAGGATTGTTTTAGAAATTATTAGATTAATTAATTAATTAATTAATAGATTTAGTAACTCTGCAATAACGTATATGGCACGCTTGATTGGTTCTTGTTAGTTTTATTTTGTAACTCTTCTCAATATCTTGCATACTTATTATAACCATGGACCTCTTCCTATTGTTCCATGCTGTTACTTATATGTTTGGCTTTCTCACAGTCTTCAATCCTATGTTTTTATTTTGTTATTTTATTGGTTTTGCTGTTTTTACAGTGTTTTATCAAATGTGTTAATGTCAAATTATTAATGTCATATATCCCCTCTTTATTCACTTAAAAAAAAGTTTATAAAATAATAATAAAAAAAATCTTTCTGCCTTTTTAAAAATTATTTCATTAGGTTTCATGTACTGTCTTGTGCTTTTCCATTGTTGCTTGCCTTTTACATTTTCTTGTCTTTTTTGTAATATTTTGTGGATGTTTTGCTGTTTTTAAATTCTTAAACTTTTATGTTGATTGTAATACACTCATATACAGCCTTTTGACTTTTTTATGTTTTATGAATTAATAAAGACCTTGAATATCTAGAACTAGATTTAACCATCATCATCATCATCATCATCATCCTCATCATCATCATCATCATCATTATCATTATCATTATCATCATCATTATCATTATCATCATCATCATTTTGAATATTTTAGGGTCTAACACTGACCATAAATCATTGTCAGGTTGTTTTTGAGGGAGTTCGTGGAACTGGAGTCGTAAGTGTAATTGCAATCGATGACATCGAGTTTTCTCGGATGCCCTGTGAATCATGTAAGTTCTTTGGCATTGTATATAAACCCACACGACACGATATCTACATGAAGGACCAAATGGACAGTCCGATGTTGGGTGAGAGAGCGTGGAAAAGATAGAAAAAACACTAACGCCGAAAGGTGTGAGTGCAAGTGGGCCTAATGCATCAAGAACTTTCAACGGTACAGTTAAAGGTCCCTGCTGTGTATATAGCACAAAATTTTTTAACTGCAGGCTTAATAGGGCAGGTGACTTATCTACACACCATTTGAGCACTTGCTTAGGCACAGGTAAACGATAACTTAAATACTGTATGCTCTGTTAATGTTAGTATCAGTAATATTGGCTTTGGCTCTACTTTCTTGGAAATGTTTAAGGAAATTATCAACATATAATTTGTTTTCATTTCCCACACTGTGTGAAAGAAGTTACAGTCAGTTGAAATAATAATAATAATAATCCTTATCAATATCATCATCATCATTATAAATTATTTTCATTTCCATTATCAGTATCATAAATATTATATTTTCATTATTAATTTGTAGATTTTAGCTGTGATTTTGAATCAGGAATTGATGTGTGTGGGTTTGTTCAAGATAAAGACGGAATCGAAGATGATTTTGATTGGTATTTACAACAGGGCACGAAAGCACCTGAGACTGGACCCACCACTGACCATACCATTGGAGAACAAACAGGTTATCTATTCAATGTGCACCTTCTTTAAGACAGAGTATTAATAAACACCATTATACATAATTATCATAAGGAAATACTCCAAAATCTTTTTGTATGATAAAACACCAAAATTAATAGGACTGAGCGGGTATTACTCCAGCAAATTGAGGCACATTGCCGGCCTATTCACAGAAGTTCTCTAGTGATTGGAACTCAAACTATCATAAGAAACTAAAATATAAGAAATAAAAGAAAAATTTATGAATTATTCAGATGTGATTTCAGTTGTGTCTAAATAATCAAGAGCGGTGTTCACCAGTAGGCAAATTGCCTAAGTAAAGCCTTTGTGTTTGTCCATAAATTTGGAGATCACTATTTAAAATTTATACTAATATTACAATATAACAATTTTATTAACGACGTATTTTTTTAAAAACACAACACAGAACATTACGCTTTAATGGAGGCTTCACAGCCGCAACGACCCGGTTACAAAGCGGTACTACGCACACCTCTTCTTAAAGGTGTTCTGCTACCGACCTGTTTAAAGTTCTTTTATTTTTCGTACGGAGAACAAGTTAGCAGTTTGACAGTTTATAAATCTAACCAGGGCTATAACTTAGAAGAACTGTGGAAGAGCTCTGGTATCAGCGTCAGCAATTGGAAAAGTATAACAATTCAGTTACCAATGTCTTCATCAAGCTATCAGGTAATTAATTATATCCCATAACGTACAATTATGATTGTGGTGTAGAGATTTTTCTAGTTCCACTCTCTGAAAGACTACCCTATTGGCAACTTTATTCACTGCTTAGTTCTATCGATTGTATTGGTAATATTAATTTTGATAAAAGTGCCATTCTTTTAATAGAGAATACAACTAAATCTAAAATCCTAAGAGCCCTAATATAAGTTTTAAAACAAATCTTTTCAATAGGTGTATTTTGAGGGACAGATCGGAAAACATTTTCAGGGAGATATAGCTATCGATGACGTCATCATATTTCAAGGATATTGCGTTGACATCACGGCCACAACTTCGGAAAATGAATCTACAAAAAATCCATTATCTACTAACCGTCGCACGAACCAGCATTACCAAACATCTGCCTTTGCATGTGATTTTCAAGTAGATATCACAGCGTGCGATTTAAGACAGTCTACGCGAGATAATTTCGATTGGGTATATTATGACTTACATGAGTTCCAAGGAATGCCTGGATTAGAAGGCACGTTTCTAGCTAAACATACGTTTTATAGTTTATGGAGAGCCAAATTGTGATTTAATCGCAAATAGAGATGTGATTAGTTAAACAGAGTTAATGCATATCTTAGTTTTACATAAAGATATTTATTTAATATATACCATATACATACATAAATATATGTATTATATATATTATATATATAATAAATATATATATATATATATATACGGTATGTATATAAATCAAGAGAGCCGTTAACACTGATAGAGATGTCTTAGTTAAACAGAGATAATGAATATCTTAGTTTTACATAGAGATATTTATTTAATATATACCGTATACATACATACATATATCTGTCTCTTATACCCATCTAGATGTGCATAAGAGAAAGCAAC